CCCCCCCCCTTTTTCCCCCCCCCCCCCCCCCCCCCCCCTATTAAGTCATAGAAACCTCAGTCTCCCAAGTTCTTTCAACGGTAGAAATATCAAATATTATTCAATAAAATACCTGATAGAGGAAAAATACAGAACATAGCATGAACGTGACGCCATACTGGAACAAATCACTGGAAAATTCCTGAAACTATCAAAGAATAAAACAAATTCTGTAAGTATCCAAGGCATCATTTTTATAGACATCTGTTTTTCCTACAATTCCACTGAAACTAAATGTTTAATGACGTCACTAATCACAAAATATGCTTTATCACATAACGCCTTTTGTATTAGTGACGTCATAAAACACTTCGTTTTAGTGGAATTGCAGGAATCACGTCTGATTGAAAATTGGAATGATGTAAATTGATGCTATCAGTGTCCCTGATACACATAAAAATTTAGAAAACCTCTTTACAATCTCTTTAACAAGAACCACAGACGTCTGATTGAAAATTAGAATGGTGTAAATTGATGCTATCAGTGTCCCTGATACACATAAAAATTTAGAAAACCTCTTTACAATCTCTTTAACAAGAACCACAGACGTCTGATTGAAAATTAGAATGGTGTAAATTGATGTTATCAGTGTCTCTGATATACATAAAAAATTTAGAAAACCTCTTTACAATCACTTTAACAAGAACCACAGACATCTGATTGAAAATTAGAATGATGTAAATTGATGCTATCAGTGTCCCTGATACACATAAAAAGTTTAGAAAACCTTTTTACAATCCCTTTAACAAGAACCACAGACGTCTGATTGAAAATTAGAATGATGTTAATTGATGCTATCAGTGTCCCTGATATACATACAAAATTTAGAAAACCTTTTTACAATCTCTTTAACAAGAACCACAGACATCTGATTGAAAATTGGAATGGTGTTAATTGATGCTATCAGTGTCCCTGATACACATAAAAAATTTAGAAAACCTTTTTACAATCCCTTTAACAAGAACCACAGACATCTGATTGAAAATTAGAATGGTGTAAATTGATGCTATCAGTGTCTCTGATACACATAAAAAATATAGAAAACCTCTTTACAATCTCTTTAACAAGAACCATAGACATCTGATTGAAAATTAGAATGATGTAAATTGATGCTATCAGTGTCTCCTGATACACATAAAAAATTTAGAAAACCTCTTTACAATCTCTTTAACAAGAACCACAGATGTCTGATTGAAAATTAGAATGATGTAAATTGATGCTATCAGTGTCCCTGATACACATATAAAATTTAGAAAACCTCTTTCTAACTTACATGTAAATGTTCATCGTTCATGACAGCTACTCCTCTGACCAGATGTAAACAGGCACATAAAATATTTAATGCTGTAGACACCCAACCTACTATATCAAACGATACGTAGTGGACACCAAATGATGCTGAAAAATAAAAAATATTTAGCATGGTCAAAAATTGGAATGGTGCAAATTAATGCTATCACATATAAAAAAAAAAAGGGAAAACCTTTTTACAATTCCTTAAAACTAACATGTAAACAAAAAGCTTTGAGTTGTGCTTTGTCTAATTCTAAGCTAATAAGAATTGAAATCAGATGATTTGAATGTCCAAGTTTTCTGCACCTGAATGGGCTAATGAAGACAGGCAACGCCACTCAGTGTGCAATGAGGGAAATTTTACCAGAACACCAGCATTAGCCTCTTCTTTTGCGATTTCCAACTGTCGAGGGATCTTTAATGTGCACAGTCTGTAGCACACGGAGCCTCAGTTTATTGTCCCATCTGAACAACTAGACGCTTTTTCATTGTCAGTCCCTCAGACCTGTATCACTGACAGGGGGAAACCTGGTTGTAAAATCTGAAAGAATACAGATGAAGCTCATGATAAAAATTAATACCTACCAGGTGTTCTAAATGATGTTGATTTGGAACCTAATTCAGGATATAACTCAGCATGGGGAATACTGTAGGGAGGTCTCAACTTTAATTCTTGGTTTAAATCACTAATATTGATTTTAGTTGACAGAAACCTAGTACTGTTATACTTCGATTTGGTCTTGTGCATAAACATAGCTGAAAATTTAAAAATCAAATCAAAACATTTTTGACACACTAAAGACTTTAAGAGAAAGAAACAACTATATTTTACAAGGATAACAACTTAGGTTCACAAAGATCCTTTCTACCAGCTGGTCCTTGGTTAAACCTCTTGGTATTGATTTTACAAGGATAATAACTTAGGTTCACAAAGATCCTTTCTACCAGCTGGTCCTTGATCAAACCTCTTGGTATTGATTTTACAAGGATAATAACTTAGGTTCACAAAGATCCTTTCTACCAGCTGGTCTTTGGACAAACCTCTTGGTAATGATTTTACAAGGATAATAACTTAGGTTCACGAGGATCCTTTCTACCAGCTGATAACAACTTAGGTTTAGCTGTTCCTAAGTCGAATTAAAATTAAATATCGGTTCCGTTATTTTATTAGCTTTTATTTTATGACCTGTTAAGGTCTAAAGACGGCCCTCTTGAACATTCGTCTGCATGATGCCCTCTTCAACGCTGGGATTTTGTGACACGAACAAAAGGTGCATTCAGTGTCTAATGATTCTCAGAATACAACTTTTGTCTGCAGTGTTTTGGCGTAAACGCAACTGATCACGTGACAAATTTAATAAATGATGAAGTCAATTGCGTTTACACACCAATAATGTTAGAGAGACCAACATTTAATTCTTAAATATCCAACTTACCAAAATCAATATAAGCGTAAGGTCTGGTGATAACATCAGTTTTTTCATGCCTGTATTGTTGTAAGAATTCTTTCATTAAGTCATTGAGAAAAGAGAAAGTTAGAACTGTAGGGTAGTTAATATCAGTTAGAACTAGAAACGTTAAACCTCGGGCACTCGTAAAGCTGAAAATATACCAAAATTATCAAGATTCCTTATTCAAAAAATATAAAATGAAATGAGTTTTACATCCTACTTTTCTGTATCATATGGGCTAATGAAGATCAGCAACGCCATGCAGTGTGCAATGAGGGTAATTTTGCCAGGACAGCCAAATACTTTCATCTGGGTTGGAACATTGTCTTTTTGTGGCAGTAGAATAGCTCAGTCGGTAGCTAGTTGGATTGTCGTCTGCTAGGACAGTGGAATAGCTCAGTCAGTAGAGAGTTTGATTGTCGTCTGCTAGGACAGTGGAATAGCTCAGTCGGTAGTGATTGGATTGTTGTCTGCTAGGACAGTAGAATAGCTCAGTCGGTAGCTAGTTGGATTGTCGTCTGCTAGGACAGTGGAATAGCTCAGTCAGTAGAGAGTTGGATTGTCGTCTGCTAGATGATAAGGTGCTGTGGGTTCGAATCCTCTTTAAGGTTAGAAAAATTCTGATGCCTGTGCCAGTGCTTCCGAGAGTCAGCCCAGTGTCAGCTTTCGCTAATATTTACTTACTGTATATGAAATCTTCCCGATGTATAAGTACATCTATCTGTAAACTGAGCTGACTTTCTGGACAATAATTTCAGATCTTTATAGGCCTCTTGATAATCATGATCTTGGTTTGTAGAAGAACCGTCAGTTGACCCTGTCAGTGGCAGACCATCTCGAGTTCGGACCACCAGAACGAAATGTAACGCCATATCTGAGTTGACCAGTTAATGTATTATCATTATGTAAAGGTGATGTATTTATGAATTTTGATTCTTGAAACCTTCATTGTAGTTCTGCTGGAAAAATTTCAAATTATCTTCAAATGTAGTGAAGTTAAATTTGATGCTACAGGACAACTTATTGGAAATCTCCCTCCTCCCCTACATTCCCCTTTTCTACCCCAACACCTCTTCAAATCAAAAAGTAAAATTTTATACCTCCAGGAAATTGATTTGAATACTACCCCCTCCCTATCCCAACTCTACACCCCACGACCCCATTGCCCTACAGATACATATTTCACCCCCCACCCCAAACAATCAAGTCTTGCTGGAAAATTTCGAGAATATCATCAATTGTAGTGAAAGTAAAATTTGATGCATCAGGACACATTATTGGAAAACTCCCCCCCCCCCCCCTCCATTTTTCCCAATTCTACGATCCACTCCACCTCCGGATATATGACTTACCACCACCCCACCCACCACAGGCGTACAATTCAAGTCTTACAACTGGCCTGGCCTGGGGTTATCTTAGACGTGATATCTGACCGGTGACCGGTCATTTCAATATGGAGACACGATTCTGACTAAAACTGCAGAAGTATGGGACCAAATAGTTCCAAATTGGCGTCGTATCATCGAAACACGCAGAGACGATGCCATAAAGTCAAATTCAGAAATAATCTCGACATAATTTAGTCAAAAAATGATAAAACATACGAACACTTATGATTTTTTCTTCCACATCATCCAAACCGGAAATTAGTCTTTTTATAACTTTCAAGATGAAGAGTTCCATATCAAGGGAAATAACTCATAACATATTCAGACTACAGTTAAACGATGCTCGTCGAAATAGAATATATAGTTTCTCGACAAAATAGGGAGATTCTTATGTTTGCGAGGTCATTTATATATTTCATGATTAATGCAAACAACGTCATATAAAGTTATATTCTCTTTTGATGGGTTACGTCGCACTGATGCAAAAAGTCAGGGGTAGGCTTACACACCCCGGGTCCAAAATATGGTACCATTACCCTTCTAGCCCGACAATCTGGCTTTACCTGTTCCCGAGACCGAAACATCTGCCTCTATTCCAGTCGATATCAATCTAAATATCTTTCAGAGGCTTGAATAGAGGCAGACGTTTCGGACTACCTGTTCCTTGGAGGTGATATATAGATGGGGTATCGATTAAGGGTCATCCCATCCGTAGGCCTATATCACGTTCACGGACGGGTGAAATAGATTTGTCGTGCTAATACCTTTCATGTTAGGAAAGCCAGACGTAGCATTCTTATTATAAAAAGGGATAAAGGTAGCTTGAATTGATAGTGGACAATCTATCCATAATATGAAAAATTTTGAGTCATATTTTAGGGAGTCTACAAAATAACAAAAAAACAAATAGAAATTCATGTAAGAATATATATTGAAATAATACAATCAGTAGGCCGAGGCTACAAATTATTTATGAGCAATATGCAAGATACAAAAGGCACAATTTTTACGATTCGTCAGTTAGTCTATCTTCAATCGTTAAACCAACAGACCAAATCATCTGATATATTTGATAAAGCAAGGCTTAACCACGTGGTTTCACTCGAATAGGTTTTCAATCAATCTTGCTGCAGAGGTGAAGGGGTTAATGTATTGTTTCTTAATGAAAGCATTGAATATGCTTCTACGTTTGCAAGCTGGGTATATCAAAGGACATTTCCATCTTCGACAAACCAAAGGATCGTGAAATATGGTTAAAGATACCCTCACACCATAGTGATTACTAATTACTATTGTTGTGAATAATGAAAGTGGCCACGAGTACCGAGCACAACTCACAACTCAGTTACATGACAGTTGCGCTCGAATCTTATGACCGCTATTCTTATTCGCAACTAATAATGGTTATAGTGAAAGCCTCTTTAAGGTTCAGGGAGAAATGAAATAGAGTTTTACTTCCAACTACAGCACAAAGCAAAAAATGAAAATACACCAATAACAAGACGTAAAAAAAATAAACAAAAACAAAATTATTAATTTTTATCAAAACAAACATTCAAGATTCAAAAAACGTTGAAATTTTTGAAAAACGGATTCTAAAATTATTTGAAATCTGAAATGAATTGTTTTAATAAAAAATTCAATTTTTTAATGGCCGAACATTTTTAAGAATTCATCGATATTAATTTTTCCATCGCCATCTTTATCGAGTTTCTGAATGATCTGTTTGACCTGGGTTTCATTGACTTTATGGCCGCAAGATTCGAAGACTTTTTGGATTTCCTTAGAGTCCAGAGTTCGGCTGCCATCAGTATCAATAGCTTCGAACGCTCTTTCAAAATCACTTCGCCTGAAAATAAAACATTAACAGGATTAAAAACTATTATTTGTACTAATCCGATTTCTTGTCTGACGTCAATATTGCAAAAACCACTTAGCTTGTGACGTCGTTAGCCTAGAACCTCCGGCACCACAAAAGACGGAATGGAATTCACCTGGATACAAGTAAAACCGAATAACCGTTTCTCATTTTTCCAGTCGGGTGATCCAGAAAAGATGACTACCTTAGATAATATGTTGAAGTATTTTTGTAAAATGGGTTAGGGTTAGGGTTAGGGTTAGGGTTAAAATGCGACTCACTGTAAATCTTGTTCTGGAATTTTAGCCATTTCTGTCAGGAATTCTTCTAGAGAAACTTTCTGATCTCCATCCTTATCAACTCCCTGGAACATTTTCTAAAAAAATAATGGATGAATAAATGAAACACATAAAATAAAGGTAGAATGAATGAAAGAATACAATGAATGAACGACCGACCGAACGAACGAACGAACGAATGAATGAACAAATGAATGAACGAATGAATGAATGAATGAATACAATGAATGAACGAACGAATGAATGAATGAATGAACAAACGAACAAACGAACGAACGAACGAACGAACGAACGAATGAATGAATGAATGAATGAATTTTGGAACACAAAGCCTCCTCATTATTAAAAGTGAAGAAGATATTAAGTTTTATCTAGTTTTCCTCTCATTTCAATAAACCATACTACTAAAATATAAGATGAATTATAAACTACTGACAAAATGAATGAAATTATTTACTATGTGAAGTATACTTGACCCCTGTAGTATTTGACCCCTGTAGTATTTGACCCCTGTAGTATTTGACCCCTGTAGTATTTGACCCCTGTAGTATTTGACCCCTGTAGTATTTGACCCCTGTAGTATTTGACCCCTGTAGTATTTGACCCCTGTAAAACCTGGCCCCTATAGTATATAGAGCTAACAAAAGATTTTATGATTAATGTCAACACCATCTGAGTTAGAGAATGTAGAATTATAAAAAAAACTTGTTGAAATATTTATACAAGTACATTATAGTAGGAAATCGTGTATTATTAAAGGTGATGGGCCACGTAATTCTATCATATCAGCTCGACAGATAACCTCTACCCCTCAAACATGGGCTATCTTTCTTAACCTACCCTTATCAGAAATGACATGAAATGACATGAAATGACATGAAATGACATGAAATGACATGAAATGAGTTCTACGTCCCACTTTTCTGCTCCATGTGGAGACGATCCTTATCATTAGAGGCCATGATATTGTGTAGTATTAAAGGTGGTGTTCCGCGCAATTCTTCAACATTGTTGGGATTAAGCATATGAGATAGCAGCCCCCCCCCCCCTCAAAAGCACCTCCCCATTCCTCTCAAAAGTCCTGACATAAGTTGTTAAAGGTATAAGATTCTCCCCACCCCCTAAAAATTGAATTTCTATCGTATGTATACAAGAAAAGTGGCTATTGTAGTCAAGGTATAAGACAAAATTCGTAATAGCTTGACATTGTGAAGATGTGATACAAGAAAGGGGGCTATTGTAGTCAAGGTATAAAACGAAATTTGTAATAGCTTGACATTGTGAAGATGTGATACAAGACAGGTGGCTATTACAGTCAAGGTATAAAACGAAATTTGTAATAGCTTGACATTGTGAAGATACAAGGAAGGATGCTATTGTAGTCAAGGTATAAAACGAAATTTATAATAGCTTGACATTGTGAAGATGAAGTTTGTAATAGATTGACATTGTGAAGATGAAGTTTGTAATAGCTTGACATTGTGAAGATGAAGTTTGTAATAGCTTGACATTGTGAAGATGAAGTTTGTAATAGCTTGACATTGTGAAGATGTAGTTAGTAATAGCTTGACATTGTGAAGATGAAGTTTGTAATAGCTTGACATTGTGAAGATGAAGTTAGTAATAGCTTGACATTGTGAAGATGAAGTTTGTAATAGCTTGACATTGTGAAGATGTAGTTAGTAATAGCTTGACATTGTGAAGATGAAGTTTGTAATAGCTTGACATTGTGAAGATGAAGTTTGTAATAGCTTGACATTGTGAAGATGATTAGAATATCTGAATAAAAGATCAAAGATTAAAACAGTATAACATTCACTAATATTCACCGGGAAATATCAATACAAATACAGATATAATACAATATAACCTAAATACACAATAGAAAACTAGGACACCAGATATTCAACACTACAAGTAAACAAATACGTTTTTTTATCAGTTTTCCTTGATATAATCGATGTTTTATAAAATGGTATGAATTATTTAAAATGTTTGAATGTATACGATCCCAATATTCAATAAATAAGGTATTCAAAAAAGGTTCTCTGGTTTTTTTTTATGTATCAGGGACATTGATAGCACCAATTTACACCATTCTAATTTTCAATCAGATGTCTGTGGTTCTTGTTAAAGAGATTGTAAAGAAGTTTTCTAAATTTTTTATGTGTATCAGGGACACTGATAGCATCAATTTACACCATTCTAATTTTCAATCAGATGTCTGTGGTTCTTGTTAAAGAGATTGTAAAGAAGTTTTCTAAATTTTTTATGTGTATCAGGGACACTGATAGCATCAATTTACACCATTCTAATTTTCAATCAGATGTCTGTGGTTCTTGTTAAAGAGATTATAAAGAGGTTTTCTAAATTTTTTATGTGTATCAGAGACACTGATAGCATCAATTTACATCATTCTAATTTTCAATCAGACGTCCGTGGTTCCTGCAATTCTATTGAAACTAAGTGTTTGATGATATCACTAATCGTTGAGAGCCTTATGTGATAAAGCACCAAACCGTTTTGTGATTCGTGACGTTATCAAACACTTTGTTTTAGTGGAATTACAGGAACCACAGACGTCTTTCCGTAGCCTTTTGAAATTCTCGGTGACGTTATCAATGTCAACAGTACTATATATGATCACCCGTCCCCCTCCCCCTTTTGTAAATTGCGGGGGTGACTGAGCTAGCCAGAATATTTATAACGTGACAGAAGACATCCTGTGATAAAGTAAATTACTAGCTGTATTATTGTGAAATGTCCACACTATATTTGTTAATCTGATTTATTTAATATTAATACTAGAGATAATCTTCTTATCAAAGTTTAAAATATTTAACAGACGAAGTCACATTCTGAGGTGTAGGGGATGGTGGGCTATATCATATCTATAGGTCTTAACATAACCTGGTCACAATGTCAAGATATTACCAACTTCGTCTTATACCTTGACTACAATAGCCACCTTACTTGTATCATAGAATGTAATGATTTGATTGGTTTGTTCGCTAGCGTACCAATCAGAGTAAATATTACTCAAATAAGACTGTAAATATTATGCCTTATGTTTACAGACTTTCCAGTAAGGACTCTGATTGGCTGTATTCGCTAGCCTGCAATCCAATCAAATCATTACAAGTCCATGGACGGCTCCGGTTGCTTGAAGATCTAGTCAAATTCACCGCCATTTTATCCCTTCTAAGTAATTTTGTTATTAATATTGATAACAATTTATGGTCTAGAGAGTAACAATAACTATTTGTGTTTGTTATTATAGAGACGGATATAATCAATACAATAAAATATTTGAAAATATTGATTAAAGTAGATTTTTAAATATTCTGAAGCGACTGTGGTGTTTTGACCTACCAGATGTCGAATCTGCATTCTACAACAGACATATTTCAGATTGCATTGTCGATATATATAGCCGACCTAGGCACAGGGGCAAGGCTATCCACTTACCCTCGACAATCAAAATATTTGTGGGGACCCGAAAGCCATGGACGAGACAGTGGCCATTTTGGGCCGGTAAAAAGAAAAAAAATATTTGGGTTAATGGTATTTGCAGAAGTGACGTCATAATTTTGTCAACATTGTGTAAATATGTCCAGAGGCCTTGTCCATCATGTCCTTGTGTTTGAAAATAAACCAGACAGACAGACAGACAGACAGACAGACAGACAGACAGACAGACAGACAGACAGACAGACAGACAGACAGACAGACAGACAGACAGACAGACAGACAGACAGACAGACAGACAGACAGACAGACAGACAGACAGACAGACAGACAGACAGACAGACAGACAGACAGACAGACAGACAGACAGACAGACAGACAGACAGACAGACAGACAGACAGACAGACAGACAGACAGACAGACAGACAGACAGACAGACAGACAGACAGACAGACAGACAGACAGACAGACAGACAGACAGACAGACAGACAGACAGACAGACAGACAGACAGACAGACAGACAGACAGACAAGCCTAGACATATACCAGACCACCGGAAGTATGTTAATATATATAGCCACAGGAAATCGACATTAAAACATGTTTTACTCTGGAATGTTAATTAGAAGTAATTTAAAACATGTGATAAACTCAACTCGGTGATTCATAAACAAGTCCGGCCTTAAATACATCAATCATTTTAGACTGAACAAGTACTACCCATTAATAGTTGACATGACCTTTATGAATAGTACATTATCAAAGGTTTTCATGGTCAAATGACTCATACGCATTTGTAAATTCATCTTATCTGTTGTGAAATTTAAAAAATCTCCAATGCGCAAATTGTAAAATTGATACGAATATTTCACAATAGGCCGCCAAAATATTCAAATTTTAAAAACCAGTTACTAAATAAACCGCCTTTAATAATATAATTACTGTCGTGCACTTTAATTGACTACAAAAACTTGTGCTTCAGGATGCGAATTCAGTAAACAGATTCGTCCTGAATGAATATACAAGGAAATAATTTATTCAACGTGTATATCCGCTTCTTCAATTTATACTGTTATATTAAATGCATATACATTCTCTGTTTAAAGGGGCCCTACACACCATAGTGATTAATAATTGCGTTAGGTTGCGATTACTAGTTGTCTTAGGTTGCGATTACTAGTTGCGTTAGGTTGCGATTACTAGTTGTGTATAGTTGCGATTACTAGTTGCCTTAGGTTGCGATTACCAGTTGCGTTTGGTTGCGATTACTAGTCTCGTTTGGTTACGATTACCAGTTGCGTTAGGTTGCGATTACCAGTTGTGTATGGTTGTGAATAATGAAAGTGGCTATAAATTCCGAATACAGTTCACAACTTAGTTACATGAGAATTACATTCAAAACTTATAACCACTCTTATTCACAATGGTGTAACGGCCCCTGTAGTGTAGAATCTTACCGGTATAATTTTTACCAGTGCATGTACCTAATTTGGCCCAAGGGTCGACATTTGTATCAGTCCCCAAACCCATTGTTACGTCGTTAATAGCCATATATTTAACATAATATTTCACCCTAAAGTAATGATGATAATAATGAAGTTATTGATAATGATCATGATTCATGATTAGCTACGTATAATGATTACAATCATGAAGATGGTTGTAGATTTAATGCTCATGCTAATGATGCTATAGTGTTAAAGAGATTGTAAAAAGGTTTTTCTAAATTTTTTATGTTTATCAGAGACACTGATAGCATCAATTTACATCATTCTAATTTTCAATCAGACGTCTGTGGTTCCTGCAATTCCACTAAAAATATGACGTCTCTAACCCAAAGACTCTGAGATATGGTACCAACTCTTGCGATAGCTGAAGCACGCAGTGTGCAATGAGGGAAATTTTGTCACGACAGCAGTATCATTTGCCAAATTCAATGTGTAGGCTACGACTTGTAAAGCACCTGGGATAAACGAATCATATTTTCACATCCACTCCTTGGACTTAAAAAACTCTTTTGAAGCACTTTCGAGTTTTTCATGCCACGGCAAGTGCTTTCAAGAGTATGATCATGCAGCTCTCAATCCCAGCTATCGTTAAGTCTATTAAGAAATTCATGGCGACAATGACATTTTTTGTTCGTAAGGAAACCTCTTTAAAATACTTGAAGGCAAGTTTATGATTCCACGACAAGTGCTTTTATCTGATATCGTTAGTCTACTAAGAAATTTACAGCGACAAAGACATTTTTTTGTTTGCAAGGAAACCTCTTTAAAAATTCCACGGCAAGTGCTTTTACAAGTATGATAATGCATCTCTCAACCACCAAGCTATCATTAAACTAACTTTCCAAATCCCAAATCAACTAAGAAATTCCCAGCTAGTGACAATGAAATATAAATAAATATAGAAATATTTCACTTACAATAACATCTTGGTCGCTGACTTTCAACTTCAGGGTTTTATTCAACATATTCCTCAATTCATGAATAGTTAATGACCCGCTATTATCAGCATCAGCCTTCTTAAAAAACATCTCATAATCAGCTTTTTGTTTTGGTGTCAGACCCATCTTGTTGTTTGTATGATTTCAGTAGGTTTAGTTAAAACTAGTGAGTGTATCGTCGCTAGGAGAGTGATGTAGATCAGACCAGGTATGTCAGTTTAAACTATAGTAGTCATATAGTAAAAATACCTGGAGGCATTAAGACGCGACAAGCCTTGTTTGATTCATACAAATTCTATTCTGGTTGAATTACGCTTTACTAATCTAGGTAAATGAATAGAGTTTTACGTCATACTATAGTTTGTCTAATGAAGATAACTTTTGCCAAGACAGTGGCTTTAGCCTACTCTTTTTCTATTTCCAACTGTCCAGGGATCTTTAACATGTACAGCCTATACGGTTACTGAAAAATGAAATGAATGGAATTTTACGTCCTACTTCAGTGTACCTAATTGGGCTAATGAATATGACAACACCATGCAGTGTACAATGAGTGAAATTTTGCCAAGACAGTGGCATTAGCCTGCTCTTTTTCGATTTTGAACTGTCGAGGGATCTTTATCGTGTACAGCCTGTAGCACACACAGGACCTCGGTTTATTGTCCTATCTGAAAGACTAGACACTTTCGGATGTACCCCCTGCAAGCCCCACCCACCCATCGTATCGTGGTCCCCCATCACTGACATTAGAGACAAAGCAATATGAAGGGCAAGATATGTCTAGTACACATGTACTATTATTACGACGTATGTAACACCTGGATTGAGATATCAGGTATCAAACAGTCCCATTCAATGAATGAATCGGTTGAGTGGTTGTCAAACATGTTGATGATTAAAACTCATCTTCACAAATCATGACGTGTCATCTCAAACATCCCCGTCATATACTATACTTACTATATAAACCTACTATAAATAATAAACTATATTTACTCTATACAGGGATACACCTACTCTAGTAAAAGACCAGATTTCACAAGACTCTGACAAAATTTCAACACAATGGATAATAAATGATTTAGTTTCACTCTACAGAGGAAGGGTCTATTTCCGCCCACTACTTAAAAAATATATTTTTGGATGAACAAATGATAAGGAAAATGAAATGAATGGAGTTTTACGTCCTACTTTCTGAAGCTTATGGGCTAATGAAAATGGGCAACGCCATGCAATGTGCAATGAGGGAAATTTTGCCAGGACAGCTACATTAGCCTGCTCTTTTTCGCTTTCCAACTGTCGAGGGATCTTAACGTGCACAGCCTGTAGCACACAGGGCCTCTGTTTATTGTCCCATCCGAACGACTAGACGCTTTTTCCATGTAAGCCTGTCTTACCTACATCACTGACAGGGGGAAACTGGGTTGAAAAAAGGTTAAACAAGAGGTGTGACGAGGCCAGAAAGGTCTTGGCGCTGGTAGAGATGGTGAAAAATGGCCTCAAACCAAAATCACAAACTTTTCAATATAAACAAATTTATTGTACATTGTAATTTGATTTCTATATAAAATAATTACACACAATATACAACAATATTAACCCTTTGATGATGATAAAATAAATTAACCCCTTGACATAGTTAACCCTCTCAACACCAGGAGCTACTCCAACCCACAGTCAAACAGTCATTATCAAATAATGTCATAGAATGTTAACATTATATACTAAATTAATAATTAAAAGTTGGTCTCACTAGCATTATTGGTGTGTAAACACAATTGATCACATGACAAACTGAATAAATGACGAAGTCAATTGCGTTTACACACCAATAATGTTAGTGAGACCAACGTTTAATTCTTATATTTATATTCAGATACTTTTATTAATACAATTTTCACTGTTTTATATGATCAGTTATTTGAATTTACCACAAATCTTAGATTACGTCATTGTTGTGTTTTGATGATGTCATAGTATCACGTGATAAACTACAGTTTATAGAAAAATAAACACCAGTTTGTGTAACTGGTTCATTGAAGAGAGTGATAATAGAAATGGAAATATTTTTAGTTTTATTACCACTCAGTGTTAAAAGGGTTAAGGGTATATGATGTTTTTATTGACACTCAGTGTTTAAAGGGTTAATCCCAGTAAAATCAATTCTATGTACAATATCTTCTATAATTATATAATACAATAGTGAACACAAGTTAAAACTTTTAATATTCTTTGTCTAGCCCTTGTTCAGTCTCCCCCTGGGCTAGCTACGGACCTGCCCTACTCTTGTATCAACTTCTTAATCAAGCAAGCCGGTAGCTATGGGAGCCAAGAATCCCCACCCCAACAAGAAAATGACATAGTTGAGCCCTTTTAAAGAACTTTGCCCTCTTTTTTTAAACCACTGTCGAAGCGACGAAAGTTGAAGCTTGAAATTATACAATTGTCCTATAGTTTTAACTTTTCTGAACTTCATCCTATACCTTGACTGTAATAGACACCTTTCTTATATCTTCACAAGGTTAAGGTATTACAAACTTAGTCTTATACCTTGACTGTAATAGACACCTTTCTTATATCTTCACAAGGTTAAGGTATTACAAACTTAGTCTTATACCTTGACTGTAATAGACACCTTTCTTGTATCATAGAAGTTTGTAAATGCAGTGATTTGATTGGATTGTATGTTAGCGAATCAGAGTCCTTGACAAAATGTCTGTAGACCATAAGACATAACTTTTACAGACTTTCTGTCGAGGGCTCTGATTGGCTGTATTTGCTGGCGTACAATCCAATCAAATCACTTCATTCAGTAATATAAGAATAGTGGTTATTGCAGTCAAAGTATAAGACTAAGTTCATAATAGCTTGACATTGTGAAGATACAAGAAAGGTGTCTATTTCAGTCAAGGTATAAGACTAAGTTCACAATAGCTTGACATTGTGAAGATACAAGAAAGGTGTCTATTTCAGTCAAGGTATAAGACTAAGTTCACAATAGCTTGACATTGTGAAGATACAAGAAAGGTGTCTATTTCAGTTAAGGTATAAGACTAAGTTCATAATAGCTTAACATTGTGAAAATATAAGAAAGGTGTCTATTACAGTCAAGGTATAAGTACATAAAATAAGTTTGTAATAGCTGGACAATTTGAAGATGTGATACACAAAAGGTGTCTATTACAGTCAAGGTATAAGACTAAGTTTATAATAAATATAGTTACAGCAATACAGCAGTTTAAAACGTGTTTCGCAATATTCGTAAAATATTAAATTCCATCATAAAAAAATATAAAATAACTAAAATTGACTTTAAATGGGACAGTTTTTATACCTGAATTAATATAATATTTTTACTTGTTATTTATTCTGAATATTTTAAACGTTTGATTTTTGAAATTGAAAAAGAGACTTAGTAATAAAAATAATAAAATAATGTAAAAGTTTTCGATGAAATCTAAATTTGTCATATTTCAACACGGCCTATAAACCCAGGTCAAACTTCTGAACGTTATTCTGAGTCTGGTCCAAGCCTATTTATTTAAATTTGATAATGACTGCCTAAAGTTTTAACCAGGAAGTAGACTCTATCAACAGGCCAGTCACTAATGTGTCATATTAAACTACGTATGGTTCTTACAGCCGTGACCGTAGTTTCGTTTGACCAATGTGTAAACCAAGATAAAGTGCCTAATGATCAAGACTAAAGATATAAAGAATTGATTGGTTAATAAAATTAGGAAATAGACTCAATCAACAGGCCTAAAGAGATGAAATGGAGTTTTACACCCTACAATTTTGCATCTGATTTGGGGAAAGAAGACAGGTAACACCATGCAGTGTACAATGAGGGAAATTTTGCCAGGACAGCAGCATTAGTCTACTCTTTTACAAGTTCTTGACTTTATACTTTACTGTATTTAATTGAGCTAATGAAGACGGGTAAAACCATGCAGTGTGCAATTAGGGACAGGACAGCGACATTAGCCTACTCTTCATTTCTAACTATCAAGAGATCTATAAGGTACAGGTTTAAACAATGAAATGATATTATTTGGTCCATTAAACAAATTTAAACACCCACAAAATAAAAAACAAAATAAAAAAATTCATCACGAAAAATATTACGAGAACAACCAAAAATAACCCCCAGTTTTACAAATCAACCTCCAATCAAACATTGACAGTTTTTACAGGTAGACTAATAATTAATAATTAAACGTTGATCTCACTAGCATTATTGGTGTGTAAACACAATTGATCACATGACAAACTGAATAAATGACGAAGTCAATTGCGTTTACACACCAATAATACTAGTGAGACCAACGTTTAATTCTTATATTTATATTCAGATATTTTTATTAATACAATTTTCACTGTTTTATATGATCAGTTATTTGAATTTACCACAAATCTTAGATTACGTCATTGTTGTGTTTTGATGATGTCATAGTATCACGTGATAAACTACAGTTTATAGAAAAATAAACACCAGTTTGTGTAACTGGTTCATTGAAGAGAGTGATAGTAGAAATGGAAATATTAATGACTTATGAAATAACTATGATATATTGAGCACTATAACTATGACGTACAATCTGTAATATCTGACTAAAAACAGAAACACACAGATAAATCGACAAAGAGAGTTCACGTTTCTGTAGTTCCAGAAAAATGTCACCAAATTATACAGAAAATAAAAAATGATGTCTAATGGTTATCACTCTAGTGACCTCATAAAGTTATACTCTATACAGGCATATAACACATATTGCTATTACCATATATAGGCATAGATGATTTTCAAATAAGACAAATATAAGACAAATGATAGACAAATATTAGACAAATGATATCATGAGACTAAACAGAACGTACATCACTTTGGATTAACAAGTGATTTGTCAAACTCAAACATACTTTGTCTTATACCTTGACTACAATAGCCACTTTTCTTTTTATCATAGAATGCAGAGATTTGATTGGATTGTGCGTTAGCAATTACAGCCAATCAGAGGCATCCACAGAAAGTCTGTATATATTATGGCTTTTGTTTAGAGTCTTTCTGTCAAGGATGTGATTGGCTGTATTGACTGACATACAAACCAATCAAATCTCTGCATGCCATGATACAAAAACATTGACTAGTACAGTCAAGGTATAAGACAAAGTTCGTCATAGCTTGACAATGTGAAGATGTTGTAATATTTATACTGTCTTCCTACCTTCGTCAGCCAATCAAATTTCCTTTTCAAGTTTTTGAGAATTTGAATATCAGTCTCAAAATAGTACTGATAGTCTTACAATATCTTTACCTTGATAAAAATATAAACATAGCTCACATTATCAATTGGTTTTGTATAATTTCTATTCATAAGGAAATAAGTAAAAATGAACTTACAACTTCATATTTTTATCAAGGTAAAGATATTTTGAGACTAACCATAATATTTTGAGGTTGATATTTCAATTCTTTTAAAAATAATCTGTAAAATTCTACACACAAACAAAAATATGGAAACAAAACACACCACAAAATTTAGGGAAAATGAAAACTTGGTTAAAAACTATTTAAAATCCTACATTTCATTTATATTTACCGTACTATGTTCAATAAACATGAATTCTATTTACATGGTATAAATATATCAACAACAAAAACACAATAAACACTTTTAACACACAAACTTAACAAGGCAACACACAATAAACACAATACCACGCTAGACCTGTTTCACAGAGTTTAACTTTGATACATTTACTAGTGGTAAATTCATTGACCAATAAACATACCAAGCTAGACCTGTTTCACAGAGTTTAACTTAGATACATTTACTAGTGGTAAATTCATTGACCAATAAACATACCACGCTAGACCTGTTTCACAGAGTTTAACTTTGATACATTCAAATTTAGAAGTAGTTATTTGATTGGCTAATAAAACTTAATTTAAAATTCATTAAAGTAATTGACCAATCAGATGACTGGAACACTAAAATCATCTTAAGTTATGAAATACTTTAATCTGATTGGATAATTAAACTGAATTTAAAGTGATTGACCAATCAGATGACTGGAACACTAAAATCATCTTAAGTTATGAAATACTTTAATCTGATTGGATAATTAAACTGAATTTAAAGTGATTGACCAATCAGATGACTGGAACACTAAAATCATCTTAAGTTATGAAATACTTTAATCTGATTGGATAATTAAACTGAATTTAAAGTGATTGACCAATCAGATGACTGGAACACTAAAATCATCTTAAGTTATGAAATACTTTAATCTGATTGGATAATTAAACTGAATTTAAAGTGATTGACCAATCAGATGACTGGAACACTAAAATCATCTTAAGTTATGAAATACTTTAATCTGATTGGATAATTAAACTGAATTTAAAGTGATTGACCAATCAGATGACTGGAACACTAAAATCATCTTAAGTTACGAAATACAGTAATTTGATTGGATAACAAATCTAAATTTAAGTAATTGACCAATCAGATGCCTGGAACACTAAAATCTTCTTAAGTTATGAAATACAGTAATCTTATTGGATAATAAAACTGAATTTAAAGTGATTGACCAATCAGATGACTGGAACACTAAAATCATCATCAGTTATGTTTTTTTGAAACAGCCCCTTGGATGTAAAAGGTTCTTCAACACTTTTTCTTGAGTACTCTTGAGAATCCAAACTCAAATGAAAGTTTCATCCATGATATCACAAACTCCTCGCTCTCCAGGTTGTATTTTAAGATCTTTTGTTTTGAAAATAGAAATATCGTAGCAACTAAGTTGTAAATTGACTGACCTTATTTAAAGTTTGAGACCAAAATGACGTCAAGATGAAAAACAGAATCTCATAATGACTTCAGACGTAAATCCAATCCATTTCAAAATGGGTTTTTAGACAATATACAGACAAGTATGGGAATCATTTCCATAGCAACAAACACTTCCAAACACCACAATTTAAAAAGCTTGTTGGTTGCTAGGCAACATCTGTTTAGCAGACGTCATGAGTGTAGGCACATTCACATTTTGAAACATGTTCAATTTTGCCGATCACTAATTTAAAAATTAAAAATGGCGGTAAGTTTCTAGGCATGAAAAAAATAAAACTTAAAAAATGGATGGTTTCGTTTCCTGAGATCGCTTTTAAACGACATTTTTTTTGGTAATTTTATAATTTCATATCTCCCAGAATCCATTGTTGACTTAATTCACCTGTACAATAACCTAGAATATATCAAAATAGTTTATAAAAACCATGACAACACGGAAATTACAATCTCAAAAACTTCATCTTTTTCTAATGAAATGAAATGAATGGAGTTTTACGTCCTACTTTTCTGTACCTAATTAGGTTAATGAAGACGGACAACACCATGCAGTGTGCAGTGAGGGAAATTTTTGTCAGGACAACAACGACATTAGCCTACTCTTTTTCCATTTCCAACTGTCGAGGGATTTTTAACGTGCACAGCCTGTAGCACACAGGGCCTCGGTTTATTGTCCCATCCGAACGACTAGACACTTTTTCGATTTCCAACTGTCGAGGGATCTTTAACATGCACAGCCTGTAGTACACAGGGCCTCGGTTTATTGTCCCCTCTGAACGACTATTTTTGGTTATATTTCTCAAATTATGATGATGATTAAGATAAATTTGTTCTTGACGTGTTTTTTGAGGCCCTGAAAGACTTGACGTTCTCATAGTATGATTGCAGACAGATCTACTATAAGCTTGAATCGCGAGGGGACGTGCCCACATAAATTGGTTTGTCCCTGACTCTACTTACCTATAGAGGGCATGTCTCTTTCCTTACCCACAGGTTTTTGAAGGCACATATCTGTATTGACATGTTTTAGTGCGTATGTCTGAAAAAAAAACAACGAAAAAATGAAAGAATCAGTTTTGATCTATTTATACCAAAAAATTAACAGTTTTATAACTTGTTCAAAACTGACCGACTTGTTCTTAATCTCTTGCAGTAGATATTTTGACAAATGGAAGGTAGCAGAGTCATAAAAAGAAATAATCCTGCCTGTGTCTGTGCTTTCATAGCATTACTAAACCACAATGTTGCAAGCTAAATTCCTAACAAGAAGTGATATCCAATATAGAAGTCAAACTAGAGCATGCAATACAGTTTTAACCAGGGTTCTCTTTTCTTATAATATCTTACAATCAAGTTATCTGAGGAAGTTAGTAAGGTTAGATTTGTCTGTGTGGTGCAGACCATTATATTTAGTTTTGGGGTCAAGTTAGGGGTAGATTAGGGGTCAAGTTAGGGGTCAAGTTAGGGGTTAGATTAGGGGTCAAGTTGGGGGTCAAGTTAGGGGTTAGATTAGGAGTTAAGTTAGGGGTCAAGTTAGGGGTTAGATTAGGGGTTAAGTTAGGAGTTAGGTTAGGAGTTAGATTAGGGGTTAGGTTAGGGGTCAAGTTAGGGGTTAGATTAGGAGTTAGGTTAGGGGTTAAGTTAGGAGTTAGGTTAGGGGTTAGATTAGGGGTTAGGTTGGTATAAAAACAGGTTTTATTAGTAAATAGTTAGTTATACAAAGCGTATTTATAATATAATACTAATTCTCACTCAAGGCAATTTCGCTAGCTAAAACTTTCACAAATTTCATGTTGAGGAATATTTTAACTGTTTTAGGATCACGAGGGTGACTCCCCCAGCCAGAGGGACGCTTGATTGGTCAGTTCTTCACGATTGGAATCAACTGGATGTTCAATAAAACTAGTTAAAACAGAGTTCCATGTGTGCGGAAAAAAAACCCAGGTGTAGATAGAATTCAAAATGGTGGAGAATTTTGAATGTGACATCTGGTTTGTTTTAGGCTAGAATTGACCAAATCTGTTGTGAACTCTCCACTCAAGCGCCACCTAGATATCTCATGGTATATGTAAATGAATCTTAATTTAGTGAGAACCCAAATTATATGAAAATATAAGAGAGATCTATGACCATGCTAGCTAGCTAATACAAACAAATACATTTCATTAAGAAATCTATGTACGCCATATTGCAAACAAAATACATTTCATTAAGAAATCTATATACGCCATATTACAAACAAAATGTCATTTCTAAATACATGCATCTCAGAAATTCTCTATCCCAGTGACCTTTGACCCAAAACTAATTTTTAACTATTGCCTTTCTTGCAATGTTATAGTCGAGCCAAAAAATTTAGAAAACTTCTAACAATCTCTTTAATATTTGAAATCAGACTAAGATAAGTAGAAATTTCTTCGCCCGACTATAACCACACCCTCTCCCCGAGGTCTCAGGCCTACCTTTTTATTATAACGCCATTCTGTGTTTGGATCCGTTCCACAATTAGCCAATTTGACTGTTTTAGAATGACTCGTAACGACACACGTATTGTCGTCTGTCATTATCTGATTTTTCTTGGTTAACGAAAAAACCTAACATCATGCAAAAAAAATAAAAAAACGTAAACAACTTTGTCAACAATATGCAAATTGCCAAGCTGCATGCAAACTAGTGGGACGCTGAAATTCAAAACAAATTCATGTAAATCTTGTATTTTTATAACTTTGGCAAAAATTAATTTTGAATAAAAAAAATCAGTTGCCTGAATTTACCGAATTTGATTCTGAATTTTTTTTTGGAATTTTTATAACTTTTACTAATTTTTAAAGAATATTGACCCAATTTCACGAATTTTCAAAACTATTATCGATGCCAAAGATGCAAAAAAATAAAAATTTACAAAATTTCAAAGTAAAGAATACAGCAAGGGACACAGAGCGCTGAGGGAAGAGACTGGCCCCTACCTCCGTGTTATATTCCCACTTCTGATTACCAGAGAGACCGTGACATTGAAATAATTTAACCGGACCATTCATAGATGAAATGTCCAGACATAAATCATCACTTTGTAATGCTTTTTTCTTAGTGTAAGAAAATACCTGAAAATCAAACTTCTATTAATGGCAACAAAAATATAATTCATTACAATTTGCTCCAGAAACGCCAATCAGTGTACAATGGGAAACTAATTACTCCCCTCTGTCAAATTCTGTTTCCAAAAAAAATATAATTCATTAAAATTTGCTCCATACAGTGTACAATGGGAGGTTGATTTGAGTCTTCAGAAATACTAGAAATGTACGAAAATCTCATAATTCCTTTAAAAATATCACAAACTAGGAATTTTACTTTCTATTTCTATAGATGTCTTTTCTATATATCACAGTGTCTCAAGAAAAGACGACTACCATCTGTAAAATTCTGTTTCCAAAAGATAATTTTTTTATTGGTGGAGATTTTCATCAACCCAAAGACAATTCAAGAATCTCAGTAAAGCGAAGTTAGAAATGTGATTCTAAACTACAGTAGTTAGGAGTATTTATAATAGATTAACATTTCCCTGTTTCTATTGCAGAAACCAACATGTTTTTTAAAGTGATACTACATCTTAGAATGAACATAAAATTGAAGAATTTTAAACTTGGTGAATAAGAGCCAGTAGATAAACCTGGTGTCATAAATAACATAACATGATCCTTATATAATCTGATAAATCAAAAAAACTTAATAATTATCCATAAATATCAAGATTAAGCATTTTTCAATAATTACTTAGTTTTATGAATTTTCCAATTTTCTAGATTTGACAGGGATTCTGTTGTAACTTTATGACACCAGGTAAGTTGACTGAAGAATATACACTCATATTGACCATTCTTGAGAATTAAATTTTATGTTCATTCTAAGACGTAGTATCAC